GGGAAGTAGAAGAGAAGGTGGATGCGTCGCGTCCACCCTCACATGCAAAGTTAAGAAATGGAGGACGAGGTGGATGCGTCGCATCCACCTTAGCATCAACCCCTGAAGCCGATTTGGGCTAGGGTTAGGATAACTTTAGCCCACAACTTTTTGGACGATATATATAAAGCTTAAAAACGCTTTTTAAAAGGGAGGACGGGATTGAACAAGAAGGAAGCTACAACCAAGTTCAAAAACCACGGAATTCGTCTTGAGTTCTTATTTCTCTCTTTCTTTTATTGATTCTTATGCACTCTTATGAAATTTTGGATGATTGCCTGAATATGAGTGGCTAAGAATCCTATTGTTCTAGGGTCATGGGTATACATGAATGTTGATGTTTGAAGTTTAATTTGACGACGTTGGGTTTATCATATTGGGTTGTTTATTTAATTCTGTTTTTAATTATTTTGCTGAGTAGTTAACAGTGAAATACTATCTACGAATCTAGAGTTGAACTCGAAAGTGGGAACCCTAGATTGCATATAGAAGTAAATAGAGTAAGTTCTCAAACCCGGGCATCGGGGAACGGATTCGCGATTAGGATAGACATATACCTAATTGCCTTACTCGGTTGCAATACAGGAATTGTAAATGCGTTCTTGTTAAACTTAATTCCATAGACATATAGGTATTAAGTTAACTTGAATAGGCGAGTAAGAACTCGACAGATTCTTACGAGTGAAATTAACCCTGTGAATCAACAATTCAGATAAATCATTTAGTTATTTTAAACCAAGAATGCAACATGAATGTTAGATGACCCGTGACCCTGGAATATTATATCCTATTGATTGTTATTCAAAACTATTTAAGTATTGTGTTTAATTCTTAGCAATTCATTATTTGATAGTCTTTAGGTAGTAATTTAGAAAATTATATATTTTGTTAGAAATATCTTGAATCAATAAGCTATTCGAGTTTGAATTAGTCAAAAGTTAGTCATAAGTCTCCGTGGGAACGATACTTTATTCACTACTTTATTACTTGACGACCACGTATACTTGCGTGAGTGTGTTTGGACCCGACAAAGTAGGTAGGTCATTTTCGTTAAGGAAAATGACCTGCTCACTGAGTGTAGTAGCGTGTTTGGACAAAGCGTCGACCACTTCATTCCCTTCTCTGTAGCAATGCATGATCTTGATACCATGTTGTTGCACCTTTTATTGTATTAGAGTAACGTCTTCTTTAAGTCTCCATGGGGTATTGTATGTCCCTAAAATCATGTTGACAACCAGAAGAGAATCTAGTTCCAAGCTTAGATCTTGACAGTTACGGTCGCAACACAAAAAAATACCAAACAGAGCCTCTTGCACTTCAGAGTAGTTGTTAGTTAAGAAATGTACTGGTGCGGCGAAGGCCATCACCAAGTGACCATTTCTTTTCCTAACAACAACACCAACGCCTGCTTTGCCTAAGTTTGCGATGAAGCGGCTGTCTGTGTTAATTTTCCACTGATTGCTATCTAGAGGTTCCCATAGAACCATAACACTCTTCAATCTTGTTTTGTAGTCTTCCACTACGTTGCACACTGTATTCCATGTCCAGTCCCAATTCATTTGACTGTATTTATGGCCCATGGAAACTTTAACCTGAAAAAGAACCTGTTGACATATTTTAAAAACAAAAATAGTCTTCTTATCATATTTCTTACCACATATGGCCTTTCATATCTCCTAGTATATTATAGTTGGGGTAATATGCAGTAGAAACTTATGGACATTGTTTTTTGGTTGTCTGCTCCACCATTGATTTAGGATGCATAGAGTGTTCCTTCCCGTGGTCTGGAATCCTAGTGGAGTGGACATAGTGTTCCATACCTTCTTTTCTATATTGCTATTTGCAAAAACATAGTCCATAGTTTCTTCTTCTGGCACCCTGTAACAACAACATCTAGAGATAATGTTAGTACAAAATTTTAGAACAACGTCATCCAATGGTAACCTGCCTTTTAAGAGTTTCCATGTTGCAAAGGAGATTTTAAAAGGTAGATGCTTATTCCAGATTTTGGCTAGTTGAGGTGAGCTCTCTCTTCTTTTCCTTAGAAGTTGATAGGCAGATGAGCAGTAAAGGATCCTTGAGGGTTGGGGGTCCAGATGGCTTGGTCTTGAATTTGATTACGGCCAATCTTGATTTGCATAATCTCATCAAAAACTCTTTGTGGCAAAGTGTCCTGGAGAAGCTCAATGTTCCAGCCATGGTTGGTGAAGAACTCCCTAACATTGATGTTTCCTGGTTTCAAAGGAAGATGGCGTATGTTTTGATGTTACCCGAGGGAATCCACCTATCTCACCAAAATTAGATATTGCCCTTGTTGATCTTCCAGAGAAATTTAGGCTCCACCCTGTCTCTGGTCTCCGTTAGGCTCCTCCAAGGGTTAGAGTCTTTGGGGTCCAATCTTTTTGTGATGGGGTTAGATATTTGGCAGTACTTAGCTCGGAGAAATTTTGTCCACAAGTTATCTTCCACCCTGAGTCTCCATTATCTTTTTGCTGCAAACGAGTTGCATATATCTTGTAGCTTTTTAAAGCCAATTCCTCCCTTATCGGTAGGATAGCTCATATTATCCCAGGAGCACCAGTGATAGCTCTTCTTGCCTGCTTTTTCACCCCAAAAGAAATTTGACAAGTACATTTCAATCTGCCTGATAATGGTCTTGGGAGGAACCATAACTGCAAGCAGATATAGAGTTTGAGACTGAAGTATGTGTTTGATAATAATTGCTTTACCACCAAATGATAGGATCTTCCCTTGCCAGCCGCTAGCTTTGTTTAGCACTTTTGTGTCTAGATCAGAGAAGTAGCAAATCTTCTTTCTACCTATATAGATAGGGCATCCAAGATATGTGAATGGGAATTGCATATGCTTAAATCATGTCCATTTTCGGATTCTTCTAATGGCTCTTTTATTATCTCTGTTAACTCCATAGGTATACTTCAGAAAGAAACTTTTTTCCTTGTTGATCTCTTGGCTAGATGCATCCTGGTAGTCATCTAGAATTTCCATTAGCAACTTCACTGATTTCCTGTCACCAGAAGAGAAAATAATTAGATCATCAGCATAACTTAGGTGGTTTATCTTTGGTCCTTTAGGATTCATAGAGAAACTAATAAATTGGTTGTTCTCATTGAGTCTGCTAAGGGCCCTGGATAAAGCCTCAGCGGTTAGAATAAAAAGAGATGGAGAAAGAGGGTCTCCCTGCTTCAATCCTCTTGTTGACTTGAAGAAGCCACGTCTTGTTCCATTAATTAATATGGAATACCAATTCTTAGAAATCAATCTGTGTATATAGTATCAATGATAGCTTCAGAGAAATTCATTTTCCTTAGCACAGCCGTAAGGAAACTCCAAGAGAGCTTGTCGTAAGCTTTTGACATGTCAAGCTTAATGACAATGTTGCCTCCCTGATTATTCTTCTTGATGCCATGAACAAGTTCCTGGGTAAGAAGGATGTTTTCAGTGATTAGTTTACCTTTAACAAAGCCAGATTGATTATCAGAGATTAATTTAGAAAAAATATTAGCTATCCTAGCACTGATAATTTTTGAGATAATCTTGTTTGACACATTATAGAGACTAATGGGTCTTAATTGTGACAAAGATGAGGGGGAGGGGACTTAAGGGATGAGCACCAGATTAGTATGGGTATAGTATCTGGTAAGATTATAACCATTAAAGAAATTTTGAACAAACTTGCAAACCTCCCTTTTTATAATGTCTCAGGATGCTTGGTAAAAGTGACCATTGAAACCATCTAGGCCTGCAGAGCTGTTGGGATCAATAGAGAATACTGTATTTTTTTTATCTCCTCTTCATCAGGGATCTAGTTCAGGAGATGGTTGCTTTCATCTGTAACCATTGGCTCAATACAATCAAGAATGGACAGGTTGTTGTCACTGTGAGCGTGGGTAAACAAGTTGCTGAAGTGATCAATTGCAGCATTTGCGATAGCTACATTGCCCTCAATCCATACTCCTTGATTATTTTTGATTCTATAGATGTGTGCTCTTCTCCTTTTCTCCTTGATCACACTATGAAAATATTTGGAGTTAGAGTCACCTTTTTCGGCCCATTTGATTCTGGATTTTTGCCTGAGGATAGACTCTTGCATCTTCAGCCATCTGGTATATTCAGCTTGGACCTTGTACAAGCTTTGCCTATTAACATCATTGTTATTGTTCTCATATTCATGCTCTAACATGTATATCTCCAACTCAAAAAATAGAAATACAACTAGATACTCAAAAAATGTATGATCTTGGAAAACTTTCTCTGATTTGATTCTGTATCAATAACTTCTTTTATGATTTTCTATATTACTCTTATATTATTTTGATTTTTTAGTAACAATTCTTTAAACTTATTAACCATTAATGAAAAACAATTACAATTTAACAAATTTTCCCTTTCTTTCTCCTATTTCCAAGAAAATAAGTTCAAGTTTGTACAAGAAGTCTAACCCTTTTTTGAATGACAATTTCTTGGGTCTTCTTCAGCAGTTTTCAAGTCTCAGTAATTTCTTCTCTACTTTTCCTTCTCAACTATAGCGTTTAAGTCTTCACTAATTCTTACTGAAAAATCTCCATATACTAATTTCAATGCTGTTATCCTAACAGTGGTGTACAGATAAATTTTTTTATAAACGGATTCGAAAAAAATAAACAAATATATATATATATATATATATAATACTTATTATATTTATACACATATCTAATTAATTATTTTGAGGAAGTGGTGTCACGGGAAAAAGGCAGGTCCAACACAACTGCTCGTTGAACAAAATAAAAAGATCTCCATTAGTAAGCATCAAATTGAAGTAAATATAAGTCATTAAGAATTGATCAACAACATTTGAAACTGAAAATCACATTAAAAGACCAACCAACGTAGAAGGTATAAAATAACACTAGCTAGCCAAGCCAAATTCATTACAATAATTTTTGTCCTTAACTAAATCTTTAGTACTTAGTGCAATCAGTAGGCTTGAAAGAAACTTTGTTAGCAACAAGATCATATCCAATTAGGAAATTCGCCTGTGCCAAGTTTCCAAAAATAGCAATTTGTTCTGCTGGCACTAATGTAAGACAAACCAAACCTTCCTCCACTTCTGCAAACGTGCTCGAAGGCGCCAACACTAAATCAGCATCAGTAAAATGCGTGACAATTTTGGGAGCATCAATAGTACCATCCTTAGACTCGTAACAGATACCAAAAGTGCCCGAAGGATCATCAATTCTAGTTGCATTGATCGATTCCAACAATATCGACTCCAAATTCAAGTAAAAATCATTAGGCAAAAAAGTCAACGTCGTACCAGAATCAATTATAATGTTACCTTCATCACCACCAAAAGCATTAGAAGAAGCAATTTTAAAAGATTTGAATTCTACCCTCTTATTCCCAACGCTAATTCCTTCCAAATTTAGATAGTAGAACGTGGACGGTTCCTTTTTTATCAAGGGAGTTGAAACGACATTAGGACCAGACACAGTGACACTATTGCCAAAGTTGATATGACTTGTAGCATTGGAAATAGATGATTGTAATGGAATTGGGATTAAACAATAAGAGAATTTCCCTTTGATTTGTTTGTCCAATTGGTTGACAATTGAGACTTCACCACCACCTAAGCCAATAATACCAGAAGTATAGTTATTGAATGTGCCACTATTGTCATGACCACAACCAAACACAACATTAGGAATAGAAACATTATTTCCAGAAGTAGAAGGAAATGTGAATTTTTCAAAAGCAAGATCACCAATAGTTTGTGATTGGTCACCATAACTCATTTGATATTCACAAATATTTCCTCTAACACAAGAAGAAGTCCCTAGTGATGCACATTCCTCAGCGTTACACCCTATGGTTTTATAAGTAGAGCTTGTTTTGGAATCAAAAATAGGGGCTGTTTGTTTGAAACAACTAGTGCAAGGCTTACATTGTGTCCATGTTAAATCACTACCAGTATCAGCTATGGCTACAATTTCAACTGGTGGGGTTCCAATAGAAATTTTCATAAGATATTCTCCTGGGATTGGAATAATATCAGATTGGATTGTGTCATTAGCACTAGCAAAGGAACTTTTCTTGAAGAAAGATTCCCGTGAAAATGATCGAAGGAATCAGAGAAAATGAAAAAAACATTCAAATAACTCACCAACTAGCATAAAAGTACTCCGCAAATTAATAGAACAATACTCCCAAAATCCGGTGATGCCAAGTCACAAGCTCTACAAGAGTATACTTAACATCCCTATACAACAATATCTATAAAAAGGAAAAATAAAATAGAACTAGATAGAGGGTGACTCCGAGGAACGAGGACTCTGGCAGGTATACCTTGAAGTCTCCAAATCTGAACTCTACTCACTAGTGCCTAGGCTGGTAAGAGGTACATGGATCTACAAAAAAGATGTGCAGAAGCATAGCATGAGTACACCACAACAGTACCCAGTAAGTTCCAAGCCTAACCTCGGTAGAGTAGTGACGAGGTCTAGTCAAGACCCTACTGGAATAAATAAGAAAACTGAACAGGTATATGATAGTGTGATAATGATAAACAATGGAAATGAAACAATGAAGAAAATATACCAAGAATAGCTACACCAAACTAAGGCAATTAAGGCAACATGAAAGAAAATAAGGAATAATATGCCAAGGACACAAAGCAACTAAAACACAAGTGATGTAATAGAAAGGTATAAACAAGAATCACTACCGAGGTACCTCCTCATAGTCTCATATCACCAAAAAATCATAATCTTTCCTTAAATCACCGCGGGAGTATTCCATTTAGTTTTGAAAATCATTTTTCCCGAAATAGCTTCCCACGTTTTAGCCCAACTTATCACACCGCGTAGCTTCAAGTTGTTCCCTTGCTAGCAACACATGTATCAAGCACACCTTATCTCACTGCATGCGTTTCGACCCTAATCCTAATACCACCGCACGCGTATTAATATCACAACATATCACAAATTGCACCGCAAGTTCCCAATATCACAAATTGCCAAAGAAGTCAACAATAATAGTGTTTCCACAATAGATAGCCCATGGCTAAACTACTATATGCACATGAGTCTCAACAATAGCGACCGAAAGTGAATAACTCCACAAGAATGGTATTTCAATAATTTACAAAATTACCTCAATGTGAACTATGACTTTTATAAATCAATATCAAATTCAACAATAAGATATTCCAAGAAATAGCAACTTCAAGTAAGGGACTCATCGGTTAAATAATGAACAAGGAATAAAGAGGACAACTTCAACCAAACATATGAAGACAATTAGCAAATGTTAAGACAGGTATTAATGATGACAAGTAAAGCATGTGGAGATAGACTAAATATGATGAATATAACATATTATGGCAACTCAATTAAAGGCATGAAAGGAAACTACATAGCTAAAACTGGTCAATTACCACATTTAGCCCGTGTACACACTCGTCACCTTACGTAAACGGCTTCCACATATCACAATGAACACAAAAAAATACCAATTCTATGGGGTAATTCCCCCACACAAAGTTAGGCAAGACACTTACCTCACAACATGCTAACTCAACACACTAGTAAGCCTTTCCTGCGATTATCCAACTCTGGACGGCTTGAATCTAGCCAAAACAACTTCATACCATAAATACAAACCATTGGAAGCTATTCCGAATAATAAAGTTGCAATCTTTAAAAAGAAACACAAAGTCAACTTCAAACGTCAACCCCGCGCCCGCCTCTCGAAACCCGACCAAACTTACACAATCCGAACACCCATTCGATAACAAGTCCAACCATGCAAGAATTAATCAAATCTGACTTCAAATCACCTTTCAAATCCCCAAATTTTAGTTTAAGAAGTTTCAAAAATTTTCCCAAAATTGTGCAAGTCAAATCACTAATTAGATTACAAAAATAACAATGGAATCATGTAATATAGCAAAATCCATGTTAGAATCACTTACCCCGATGATTTCCTAGAAAATACCTCAAAACATCGCCATAAACTTACCTCTCTAGGTCCAAAAGATGAAAATGAGATAAAACCCTCGAACACCCCCTTTTCTGCCCAGTGATTTTAGCTTTTACTGGCACACTGTCTCACCTACGGAAAACTCCATCGCATATGCGATTCCAACTAATGCCATGAAATTCTGCTTCTACGGACAAAATGCTCGCACCTATGAGCCCGCTTCTGCAGAGCCTCGACCGCACATGCGGTCCTTCACAAGCTCCTTACAGTTCTACTTCTGTGAAATAGCACTCGTGCATGCGGATGCGCATCTGCGCCTAGGTGTCTGCACCAGTGAATCCAGGCCTGGGCTAGCCTTCTCCGTTTCTGGGATGCACCCTCATACATCTGCAAGTCTGTACCCGCGACCAAAGCCTCCGCCGGTGCGATGACACCAGAGGAACATACTTTATCAATTCAACCAAGTCCAAAATTATTCCGAATTCAATCTGAATCACACCCGGGGCCCTCGCGACCCCTTGCTAATATTTCAAAATGTTCCAAAACATATAACGGACCTACCTGTCACACCCCAAAATCAGGGAGCTTGGCCAGCGCTCAACCGAGTGAACCCGGCCGAGCAATCATGTTAGATTTCCTTCTACCCAAACTCATCCATAAATGGAGAAAATACATATTTTCATTAATTAGCCAATAAGGTGATCATGTATACAATACCAATTCATTACCAATAGTTTCATCATAACAAGTAATACAACCACAACATAACATTGTTTGACCTTCCCAACACCAATATACAACCCACACTATGTCTACGGAGCCTCTATAGATAACGAAGAGTACTATGATAATGCCAGCAACAAGGTCTCGGCTATACCTCAAACACATTACATAATGAACAAAAGATACATGGCCCCGAAATGAAGTGGGGCTCACCAAATCAGCTGGGAAGAGGTTGTACCGTTGTCACTGACCAATGTCTCTTGTTGTGGAACCACCTGTATCCATTAAAGATGCAGCGCCCATGGCAAAAGGGACGTTAGTACCGTTGAATAGCGCTAGTATGTATAACTAAACACCTTCTAAATAGAATGAATAATATTACCGGGAGGAACAATCATAAAATCAATGGAACCCTCAAACAATACCAAAACATCAAGTTAGAACCACATAAACGTTCAAGTAAATTTTCATATTTTTAAGTTGGAGATCCTTAGTACCGATGTATCAACGTTCACAATACCATTATTCACTATTCCAATACCACCGTACTTTTAGCACGGAGTCCGATCACAACTCGATCGACTAGTCTATCTCATTAGAGACATCAACCACAATCACTCTCAATACCAATACCACTGTACCTTTAGCACGGAGTCCGATCACGACCCGATCGGCTAGGCTATCTCATTAGAGACATCAACCACAATCACAATTTCAATTACAATTTCCTATACAATCACAACCATGTGTGCAGTATGGCGTCTGATCATGACCCGATAGGCTAGGCTGTATCATTCGAGACATCAACTTTTTTATATCAGTAATTTCATTTCATAATTCTTTCACATCTTTACATTTCATTGGCACTAGTGGCCACAATTATAAAATTATTCTTGGTTTGATGCGTTGGAAACTAGACTCAAAGAGCTTTAATTTGATAGGTAGATCACCTCCTAAGTCTTTATAGTTTGGTAGCAGCATGTGTTTGAAGTAGGATGTTGTGCAAATTGAGACATCCTTTCCACTTAATGTATCCAACTTGTTCCACACAAATTCTTGCCATTCACAAAACTCCTTAGTATGTTCCAACACATCTTAAACATATATTTTCATTTCAAAATGATGTGGTTCTATCCCATGGGTCTCCTTTAATACTCGAACACGTTATTCCCAAATACTGTTGGCGCACCTTAAAATCTTGAATCATTAGGAAATGTTAACGAGGCCTTACATTCTCCCCCGCTCAGGATTATTCGTCCTCGAAGAGTCCGCCATAAAAACCTAATGTGACTTAAATCTTTATCTACACACCAAAAGCTCCAAAATTTGGCTAACTCCACAAATTTCCAGAAATTTTGACAGAGTCTCCCCTGTAACTGGGCCTATCCACATGTCAGAGAATCCCATAAACCATTCCTAAAAACATATACATAATCCGATGACACAATATAACATAAAAACAACACCAATCGTGGCCTCATAAGCAGTATATTACTAGAAAGGAACACCATTAGATTAAGCTGTACAAATGATATGTAATTTGTTGCGACCAAACACACTCACGCAAGTATACGCGGTCGTCAAGTAATAAAGTGACTCAAA